CAGGCAGGCAAGTGAGCAGTTACGGGTGATCAGGCAGGCAGGTGAGCAGTTAGGGGTGATCAGGCAAGCAACTCCATGCTCCGGGCCTCTAGCTATTAACTATGTTTGCTAATGACTGATTGCTATAATCCTGTTGCATTCATTTCCCTAAGCACCTTAAGTGCAGGCACACCATTTCTCCACTAATACCAGCAGCTGATATTTTAGCAGTCAATTGACATGTCATTAGTCTTGTACTAACTTGTTTGGTGTGTGCAACAGGAAATATTTTGCTTTCAAACAAGAAAAATAGGTTTGTGTTATGCTTATTTATTTGTGCAGTTATTCAGTGTCCGGTAAGTTAATGTTCAAGAAAAAGTATTAATTTTTGTTAAAATGTTCTATTACTTTATGTTTGGTGGATCCCTGATCCCAAGTGCAGGTTCCTTGAGTCTGCACATGTTCCCAGGTGTGGGGTGGGAGACCAGTTGAGAAAACCACCTGCTGTCTGTCTTTCATCAAGTGACTGTCCTTTTCTCTTCTGCTTTCACCCACGGGGACCAGGGACGGGATATGGGACTGGGGAGCTGTCACAAGGGCTGGCTTCTCCTCCTTCCCACATAGGCATTGACAAAACCACACACACATTTTCAAATCACATATGGCTTCTTTGACCCCATCAAATAACTTTATTCACACAAACGTCCCTTAATTTACAAAGCCTCAGTCATTCATACACATTAGGGGCTCCACAGTGTTCAAGGAACTTAAATATAATGTATCATACCAACCCAAGTAAACCAAGTACAAAAAATACTCATATAAAGTTGTTCACACGTAGGTCCTAGATTACCAGCTTCTGTGCAAAAAAAAAGAAAATAAGGAAAATAGATTTATTAACTAGTATTTGAAACAAACTTTGAGCCTGGGTAAATCTTCCCTCACTGAAAAGGTCCCACACAACTGTTCATCATAACATATTCCTCTGCTCTGATGGAAAGAGGTCCTGGGGCACGAAAGTGGTCTTTTAAAATGTCACTAAATAAACTCCCTTCCTCCTGTGGCCTCCCTCCGGTGACCCCTGCAATCCTAGGGGCGCTCCAGGCAGCCAGCGACAGTCAACTTTGACATCACACCTCCTGCTTCCCCTCCTATGGCATCTCTCCATGCTCTCGGGTGGACAGGATCAGAGATGGTCCTGGGCTTGTTGTCCCGAAGGCTGTGGCTCAGCCCAGTGTGGGATGATGGCTGAGGCAGTGTCTCTGGGCCTCAGCCCCAAGCCCGGTGGCCAGAATCGAATAGTTCAAGTTTAGCTATTGTCTTCCCGGGAGACTCAGCAGCTGCCTATCTGGGGACCACCAGACAGACCTACAGGGTAAAGGTGCTACAGGAAGCAATAACCCAAGAGCCCCACTTAAGAGTCAGGCCACCAGCGCCCCAGATGTGTGTGGGGACACCAGCAGGATCAAGGGTGGGAGGCACACTTGGAGGGAAAGGCTGGAAGCCCAGGTGACATGGAGCATGGTGAGAACAGTCAGGATCCCCTTCTTAGGGGCAAAAGACTAACTTGATTTTCCAAGTTTCCAGAATCCAGATGTTCGAATGTCTTCTAAGAAGGCAAACAGTCAACAGCATAAAAAGGAAGAGTCTCACAATGTCAACTCTTTTCCTTTTCTTAGAAAAAGACTGAAGAAAAAAGAAAAATCTTATTGCTCCACACACTGGTTCTCTAGGAGGCAACTGATATGTTAAGGAGCTGAGGATCTTGGAGGAAGGAATGCAGGTGGGGAATGTCCCGGGCCAGGAGGCTGAGGAAGGTGGCCAGTGGTCATAGCACCGCAGGGTCGGGGAGTAGAGGGAGCGCAGGAAGTGCCCCTGGCACCTCTGCCTTCGTTCATGCTGGGGCCACCCCCGGCAGTGCCATAGAGGCCAGGCCCTGTCCCGAGTCACTCTCCACCTAGTGTTGGGCACCCTTCTCCTCTGGCTGTAAACAGGGTATTTCTCAAGTAAACATATACACGCCCTCAGAAAGGCAGCCACAAGGGGCAACCACATCCGGGCAGGAGAGGTCCCGTCCTCCTTCCCAGTGCCTCCCGGAGATGAGGCTGAGGCCCGCAACTTAGTCCCCAGTGCCCAGAGGGCTCAGATGGAGCCAGTCTTGTATGAATAACCATGGTATCCTCCTGGCTAGAGGTAAAAGGCAGGGACGCGCTGTGTAGTAAGGGGCAGAGTGCAGCTGCCTAAAGCATTTTCCATCCTCGGCTAAAGCTGCTAGTGGTGGGCGGGGTGATGTGTACCTGGCTGCAGCCCTCAGGAAGGGATGGGGGAACCCCATGTGGCTATGGGTGAATGGGAGGGAGAGTTTAAGAGACAGATGGACCCAAACAAGGAGGAAAGCAGACTCCGGGGCAACGGGGTCTGGCCAGGGAAGACAATGGAATAAGGCACTATGTATGACCTGTCTTGCTGACTCCTCTCACTTAGGGGGCAACCAGGCCCAGACTCTCCCTCCAAAAGGCTCTCCTTTTCAGACTGGAGAAAAGAATAACGGACTGCTATTTTAAGGTTTGGAAACTTCTGGAACCTGGACAAGCTTAACAAACTTGGTGGCACTGAGGTGATGCACCACTGAGCTGCTGCCAGGCCTGAGACGGGTGGAGAGGGTGAAAAGGCAGGAAGAGGCGAGGAAGCCGACCATGGCGGGAACAGGTGGCTGAGAAAGAGGACAGGGCCACCCACCTCACCCCCGGCTAGTCTACGGACTGGACTGACAGGACCGGCGCCCAACTTCAGGTGGACACAGTGGAGAGAGCGGGGGAAGCGGGGGAAAGGAGACAGGCACTTGGGCTAACGAGCTGGCCCTCAAGAGCTGGGGAAGGAGGTCACACCAACCCAGGAGGGCTGGGAGCCCTACAAGGTAAGGGTGCATGGAAGCTGGCTCCCCAGGCTCCCCACCTCACCCGAAAGTTATGGACATCCTGTCATCTATAGGGGATACCCTGGCACCAGGAAAAACAACTAAGGGGGTGCACTGCAGCTCCAAGGCCTACTCAGAGCTAAGAGGCTGGGGAGGGTAGAAGGAAAAGATAATAAGCAAAAGGCAAATAACTTGTTAGGCGTGAGCCCTCACTGAGGACTCCAGAACCCAAGCTGCAGCAGGGAGAGGGAGCTGCGAGTTTGGGGGCTGTTTTCCCATTCGCTCATGTGCAGAGACAGCTGGCCGCAGGGAAGACAGGAGGTAGGGCAGGTGAGTGCACTGCAATTAGGGGATGCTGGGTTCCCCACAGCCCAGGTGCAGCTCAGAGCACACACAGGTCGACCAAGAAGAAGCGCTAAGAGGCGATCACAAAGGATTTCAGCCTAGGAATGGATGGGCCTGGTTACCACCTGCAGCCCTGTTGGTCCTGCTACCACAGCCAGCTGTCTGCCCAGGAGGAAGGAGACTTGGTATCTGAGTAGCTTGAGAAATGGCTGAAAGAATTTGAGCAAACATATTGTCAAGTTTGAGCTGACACTGTGCTAGCCTCTCCCAGATGCCCAGAGCTGTAGGACCGGAGCTGCTGTGGAGAAGGCCCCTTGTCATACAGAACTGAAAGGCCCTCCAGTGATCTCCCCTACTGATCCACTGCCGGCTTAGAGAAGCAAAAACAAACACAAACACAAAAGAGGAATTCCTTCCCTCTTCCCAAAGACCCTTTCCGGCTTGGCTGTCACAGGGTGGAAAGTCCTGGAATAGCTAAAGCAGCGCCCAGGTGACACAGGGGGCCAGCACCGAGGGTTCCTGTCCTGCCCAGGAGCTGGCAGGGGGGAGGACACGGGGGGACAGGACGATGCCAGGTTCAAAAGCCTGTGACAAGGGGCTGTCGAGAGCAGAATAGCAGGTACACTGACCTTCCTGGTGGGTTCCACCACTGGGGAAGCTCTAGGTGACAAACCCACAATCAGGCACCTAAAAGCTGCAGGGGTCTGCCCAGTCACCCCCCTACTCCGGGCTGTCCTGTCCTCTTCCGGTCACACACATTTACATCTAACAGTGTGCCCTGGGGGGGAGGGAGATGGCAGGACACTGTTACCATAAGTGATACCAGGGGACCGGGCACAGAGGGCACACCCTTCAGTGCAGCAACAGCCAATCCAGGGCACCCTGTTCTATGGCAATGGCCACGACTGGATCGCAGGAGCTCAGGCGGTCTCCGTGACAACCTGGGCAGAGGTTTGGCACGACAGTTTCTTCTGGGGTCTTCTGCTGGGAGGAAGATCACCAACAGAAACGCAGGCATGCAGAACTGGGATGGCTGACTGCTCAACCACCAGGAAGTGGGAGATGATCACGTCTGCCCCGTCTCCCTGCCCCTTCAGAGGTCTCTGTCATGAAGGGCAGCGGGAGAATGGAGTCCCACCACTGTGAGAAGCCTTGGAGTGGCCGGGGGCTTCCACAGCTTAAAGGAACACACCCCGGGTGAGCACTGCTTTCTTGAGTTCTCCTGGGCAGACGCTGGTCTTCCTCCTCCATGTGGATCTTGACCCAAGGCCAAGAGCTGGCCGGGAGCAGCGTGGGGTCGACAGGTCCTGCACCTGGTGGGAAGGTGGCCCAGGGGCCTCCTCCTGTCTCCATTCCGTTCCAGGAGAAATGCCCCCGTCACCTCGGAGAGGGGCTTTCTCTGGGAGAAGTGAGGCGTCGTGAGCAGAACTGAGAAATGGGTAAAAGCAAGGACAAAAACGAAATAGAGCCCTAACCCCTTATAAAAATTAAAGATGAAATTTACACAAATGGTTTGTCCATATTAAATTTCTTTAAAGAAACTGGTGCCTGTCCATAGCAGAGCTTCTGCTCTTTTGAAGTCTTAAATTGTTTAAATTAAAAAAAAAAAAAAGAAAGAAAAAAGAAAAAAAATTAAGCGAAACTGAAGGGAGAAAACGCAAACAAAGCTTCACATTGCTGGAGCTCCAGCTGTCGGGAGATCGCTGCCGGCCAGGCACCTGTACTCTGCCGTCCTCTGTGAGACTGTGGGTCCCGGGGATCAACCTGGAAGACAGAAGGCAGGGCACAGTGGACACTGGTCAGTGGGCTTGGGGTGCCTCCAAGTTCCAGATCTCCCACGAGGTGCCAGCACCCAACCTATGACCTCAGAGCTGGGGGCCAGGGGAGAAGGTTTCTAAATACTTTACCTGAAGGGAATTTAGCTTCATTATTCCTGCCCTGCCCCAGACACACCTGCTTACTATTCAGGTAAAGAAACTGAGGTGCAGGTGAAGTGACATGCCTGAGCTCACGGGGCCTGAGGGGCAGACCCTGGCGGGAGTCCAGGCACACAAATCTGGTCCATCGTGAATCCTGAGCCTCGCTGATGGCTTCCTTCAGTGTTTACAAAAATGCTGCTGGACCCTAGGCACCCGTCCCCGCAGGCCTTGGCAGCCCTGGTTCCCCTCATACTTCCTCCTCATCTAACTGTGCTGCCAGGAAACATCAAAGCAACTCTCGAGTTCACTGATCCCATTTTAAGAGACAAGAAAAGTGAGACTCAGGCCTCTGAGAACAGAAACTAACTACTAGGTAGCCAGGGTTCTTCTGTCTTAGGAGAGGCCAGAATCCCACACGGGGCATGGGGGCCCCCAAGCCAGGTGCTGGGTCCTGCGCAGTTGTGCACTGCAGAAGTAAGGGACAAAGTTATGGAGCCAGAGCCTGTGGCAGACTCAACAGGCCCTACCACTTCACTGGGGACAAATTTAAGTCCTCGGTTCCTTGGTCTTGTCACCGGTACCTAAATCACAGATTGTTCTGAGGACCAAATGAACACACTTAAAACTTAGAACATTGCCTAGCTCTATTATTATTAGCTACTAGAGGCCTGGTGCACGAAATTCATGCATTGGGGGGCACCTCATCCTGGCCTGTGCCCTCTTAGTTCAGGATCCCCAGGAATCGGGCCTAAGCTGGAATTCCCTCTTGCAGTCCGGGGCTCTCACAGTCCAGGTCCCCTTGCTCCTTACCACTGCCTGCTGTGGAGGTGGAAGAGGCTCACACCACCTCTGCTGTGCTCGCCAGCCATGAGCCTGGCTTCTGGCTGAGCTGAGGAAGGGGTGAGAGCGGGGTGGGGGAGGGGAGTGGCTCAACCAGAAGCTGGACTCACTGCTTCTTAGCATTGGCCCTACCCCCCCCACCCCCCACCCCCACTGGTGGTGGGGGCAATCTGGGGCCAGGCCAGCTGGGGCCGGGGCTGTGGGAGGTTGAGGCATTGCAGTATCACCTCTGAGGAAGGGGGTTGTGGGAACCACCATGGTTCCCTGGCCCCGCCTCAGCCGCTGGTAGTTCTGGAAGGTTGTTTGGATGTGTAGTCTAATTAGCATATTACTCTTTTATTATTATAGATTATTTGAGAATCAACGGCCTTGGGGCTGGGCTTCAGGAACAAGACAAGCCATCTGCCCTTCAGGGACCTGTTCTAGTGGAGCCTCCAGCACAAGCACCTACAGAGGTCAGCCTTGGGCGAGCCCTCACCCAGCCCAGCTCTCCCAGCTCAAGCCTGATCAGAGCTAAGTGCAGCTCTAATCTAGGCAGGGTGGCACCCAGGGCAGCAATGCTGCAGCCTGAACCGCAGAATCAGACAAACCTTTCATAGTGTGCTAAGTCCCCCATTGGCTTCCGTACTCTGTAAGCTCTGTGCAGCCGAGAGTTGCCTTCCCACATTACTGGCCCTGAGCTGTTTCACAAACTGGCCATCGTCCTCAGGTCACGGGGAGAAACCTGGCTGGTCCTCAAGAGGCAGTGGAGTGCAGTGATAAGGAACGGTTTACTTCCTGTCAGCCTCTGTGTCCTCCTCTGAGAAATGGGGAGGGCTCTATTTTGAGGTCTGAAGGGACTAACTAACATATACCTGGCCACGGCAGGAACTGGCATACTTGATGAGCCCATTCTCTCCCAGCCATCTGTCCCCTCCAGAAATGATGAATGTATGAGATTTAAACATGTTGGTCCTCAGTCACTGAGCCAGCAACGCCTCTTGGGGCTGGGTGAAGGTGCACGAAAAGGACACACCGTGGGAGGAGGGAACACAGCCTTTTGGAGAGCAACCTGGCAACGTGTTTTCAGGGCTTCTGCCATGTTTAGACCTACAGATCCTATAGTTCCACTGCAGCAAATGTATCTTCACTGATAATCCTAAACATGAAAAGGACTTGATGAATAAACATGTTCACTAAAGTATATTTAAATTATGAGGCAGCAAGTCACACAGAAGAGATTTAAGCAAATGATGCATCCATGCAATGGTATCTGCAGAGGAAATGAGGAGGCTGTGTGGCATTTTGAACATATCACAGCAGAAGCACTTGCCTGGGTCAAGTGGGGAGAAGCAGGCTACAAGTTCCACAGCACAAATTGTGCCTTTAACTGAAAATACTAACTTTTAAACAGAAAAATCTGGCAAAAAAATACAGCACAATGTTGTACTTGTCACGGGTGTGCCTTCTTCCACTTTTCCTGTATTTTTAGTACTGAGTGACATCACACTGTCACGCTCTGGTCTGTAATGGAAACAGTGTACTCTAATCAACAGGAAAAGCTGGCAGCTCTGACGAAGAGGTCCATGCAGCAGCAAGTAGCCCAAGAAACCAGACCCAGTCTTTTCTGGACTCTTCTGCATACAGGGGACATGGAGAATTCCCCACACCTGTTAGACCTCCAAGAGGTCTAACCTGGAAGACAGATTCCCTTCTCTGTCTTCCAGGTGAGAGGACCCAGTGTCCATTGGTGGAGTACAGAAGGAATCCTATATAATAAAGAGGGAATATGCAAATTGACCATTACTCCGCTGCACAGATGATGGTGCCCACAGCAAAGGCAGGGGTTTCCATAACACAAGATGGCTACACCCAGAGTTCCCCTAACGGGCCTAACACAATCAGCAGGGACCTGAGGCTACACCCTCTCCCCCACTCCTGGCACCAGACTGGGGGACCTCAGGCTGCATCTCCTGTCCAGTGGGTCTTGATGGGGGACCTCAGGTCATGCCCTCCGCCTGGTGGGGCTTGACAGGAGACCTCAAGGACTGCGCGCCCCCACCCCACTGGGCCAGGGGACCTGAGGCTGTGCCCCCCACCCAGCCCAGTGTGTGTATGTGTGTGTGGGGAGGGGGTGGGGAGAAAGGGGCGTGCAACCAGGTCTGTGTCTCGAGTGATTTTGGGCACACGTGGGTGGGCGGAGGTGACTCTGGGTCCTGAGGTGAGCCCCAGACTCTAACAGGAGGAAGATTTTCCTATACATTTACTAATTTTTTTTCATCTCTGACACTTCTATTATAGAAAAAGGGCAAATAGCAACATTAAAATATTTCTTCTAATTAATCCCCTCTTAAAGTGCATGAATTTTATGCACCGGGCCACTAGTAGGTGATAAAGGCACTGGAAAGCTATCTGATGTGTAAAGAAAATACTGGAATCCCAGGCCCAACCCTTTCCTCTGCTGCTTCTGTTTCCCTGCCTGTTAAGTTCTTTCAACAAAAACCCAGTGATGGGCCTCACATCTCAATTTTTGGTTTGTAAGAATAAAACCATCAAACCCATGCCCTGTGATGATCCAGCAGCCCTTCATATCCAATGTTAGTCAGCATGCCTACTGCCTTCAGCAGACAAAGCAGAACAATCAGGAAACAGGAAAGGGATGGCTTGGGAAGGACCTCACCAACCGAGACACACTAAATCCTCATGAAGTAGGACAAGAAAAGCCTGATAAATTGTACAGTCACGTGTGATCTGCTAAAATGATCTCTGGGACCAGGTGACCTTTTCAACATCGCTTTCCTTCCTTCCTGGTAGGACCCAATCAAAGACAACTTCCTCCAAAGGGTGATCATCAGCAGAAAGCTGGCCCCTGACAGCTGAAAAGCAGTGTGGTCAAGGAGGCAGAGGTTCCGGAGCCAGAGTCCCTCTTCCATAATAAACGGTGGAACAGTGTGACTGCAGAAGGTCGACCCACTCGTCCTGCACTCTGTAAGAGCTCCTGCGACACCGGCACGCAATGACCGCTGAAATCACTGGGTCCCTTGCCAGGAATCAAGGCTGCCGTTTCCCACGGCTCCTCCACCCTCCCTCCCTCGGCACCGGCTTTGGCCCTCCTGGCAGGTGTATCGGCTTCACTCTGGGCAGGGACGGGAAATGAGAAGGTCCTCTCTTCTGTGCAGAGGACTTGGACTGAGTCTCCCCCGTTAGAGAAGGGGCGGCTTTCCTGGGAGCCAATGGCAGAGCTGCACTGGAAGACAGAGGAGTCCTTTCTTGGGCCACGGAGAGGGAGGCTCAATGTGACGCCCAGCCACAGTTCTGGGCGGGAACAGCAGCAGACCCTCCCGGCACTCTCATCTAGAGTCCAGGCCTCAGCCCCCTGACTTCCAGGCTGGGCTTGACTGCTCAGTTACCAGCTTCAACCAGGGCTTACCTTGTCCCTTTCAGGGGAACCCCTGCCCCTGCCCAGAGGGCAAAGACACGCCCACTGAGCAAAATCGGTGGTGTGAAAAACCTGTGGGTGACACCTGTAGCACCCTCTTCCACTGTCCCGATCGTGTGAGAATGGATTTGCCCATTTTAAGAAGGGAGTAGGCCCAGAGAGATGGAGCGAGTTGGCCCACGTCACAGAGCTAATGAGCAGTAGAACCAGCATTTAGTTCAAATTTTGCAGCCCCTCCCCTACCAGTATTTCCACTATGACAGTCTTCAAGTGTTTTTACACCTACCGCCTCACTGGACTTGACAACCGAGGTGGGAGCTGCGGTTACTCCAGGGTTAGAGACGAGGAAAAGACACAAAGGAACCAAACTGTTCCCACAAGGCCACTAGTAGTGTGGAGACTTTCAGAAGTTGGGAGAGCAAGCAATGATGGGGCTGGAACTGGGGAAGGAATGGGCTCACACACTGCAAAGAAAACCACCTGGCTGGCTGCTCATAGACCACAGCACAGTATAAACTCAAATTGTGGTACTACTGGGTGGTGGCCAAGAATTCACTCTTACCCAAGTTCTCCCTGTAGTCCTGTGT